AGGTCTTGAAATTGGAGTGTCCTCATTTGTTGTGTGGCGGACACTTAAAGAACAAGGTTTACATCCTTATCACATCGAAGAAGTCCAGGCCTTATATCCAGGTGATGAAGAAAAGAGAGTGGAGTTTTGTGAATGGATGATTCAAAAATGTGTTGATATTCCTGATTTTCTAAAAATATTATTGTATACTGACGAGGCTTCATTCACTCGTGATGGCGTGTTCAATATGCACAATACGCATATTTGGAGTGATGAAAATCCTCACGCCATTAGGGAAACTGGGCATCAAAGAAAATTTTCAATAAATGTTTGGGCTGGCATAATAGATCAGTATTTAATCGGGCCTTATGTTCTCCCGAACAGATTAAATGGGCCAGGATATCTCCACTTTTTAGAAGATATTTTGCCAGTACTCCTAGAAGAGATACCGTTACAATTAAGGCAATGGATGTGGTACCTACTAGATGGCGCTCCTTCTCACTTTGATTTAAACGTACGGCAGTTTTTGAACATTAGATTTCCTCAAAAGTGGATAGGCAGAAATAGACCTACTAAGTGGCCTCCGAGATCTCCGGACTTAAATCCATGCGATTTCTTTTTGTGGGGTCACATGAAACAACTGGTTTATAATGAACCTATTAATAGTGTTGAACAATTAACCAATAAAGTTAATGCGGTAGCCGAGGAACTACGACAAAATCCAAGACTAATTTCTAATGTTCAAAGTTCTTTGGAAAGACGATTGCAAGTGTGTGTAAATAATAATGGACGGCATTTTGAACAATTACTGTAATAAACTTTATTTTGAATTAATTGGTTTTGCTACGGCAACAGTGCAATTTCTATGGGTAAGTTCAATTTCGATTTATTTTACTTCTTTAAATATGGAAACTAGTAGGTCGGAAAAGGGGACTCTTCCCCAATATTTAAATTTTAGAATTTGAAGTTAAAATTGGTGCCAATCGTTTTTGGTCATTACATACCCAGCTAGCACATAACGTTACCAAGCCTTTCGGCGATGTTGTTTTAAGGGAACATAATAACATACCCATACAACGTAATTGCAACGTTAATGAGAAGTTGTTGAGGGAAATCAAAACCTCGCGAAACATCTATTTGTTACTTACGTATTTAACCTGCCTGTTATGATAACACAACGTAATTAAGTAACTTGCTAAAAAAGTTTCCACGAGAAATACTATGGACTTTCGAACGTAGCCATTCGTTTGTCATAACCAACAAAATGTCACTTGTCACTTTTTCTTGTACGTATTTGAGATTTTAAAGAAATTGGAAACTATACGTTTGAATAAGTTTGGTAAGTTGTTTTCTTCTTTTCAATAAATTTTCTAATTTTCTAATTTATTGTCTGTTGTTTTAGATGGTAAAATTTCAATTTCCAAATACAATAAAAAATAAATCATTGTAAACAAGTAGATACAATTAAATGATGAAATATTTATTTTACACGATAATAGGGATCTTATTGATGCCTTAATACTATAGAAGTAACGATATTAAACAATGAAAGTGTCGATATTTAGGCACTGAATTACTGAATTACCAATACTATCGCCATAGTGATACTTAGAAGCAAGTATTGTATCGCTATGTGTGTGGTCAGAGATTATAAGGTTTGTTCATATATTTGTACTGAAATATTTTAGTTTTTGCATGTGGTGAAACTTGGTAATATGATTAAGCGGTACCACTGTTTTTTTGTTATTTAATTATAAGGTAAATTGCCAGTTATTGACAGTATAACTTGTACCAGGTAGAGTACCAGTAGAGAAAGAAAAGGTGTCGACTACAGAATATACTTTACTGATGCACTCTTGTTATTAGTTAAGTTTCCTACTCCGTCCTGTTGAATGGGGGTTGTCAGCCGTTTAACAAAAATCTTTTACTTTTTCGATACTTTGTTACTCGAGACTTATAAATATCAATATCTTTAACATAATATCGAACAGTATCGATGCCTCTACCACAAAGTATCTCACATGATACCGGTATTGATACCTTTGACCGATACTCAACCCTACTCCCAATTATAAAAATACAAAAACAGAGAAGTCATATACTGCCATCCTAACAAGAGAAGTCCTATCTGAAAATTTATATTTATTATCTTTTAAACCTTTTTTTGTGTAACTTTTTAACATTTTAGTACCTTTGTTGCAAAAAAGACATTCCTTTTCAGTATCGAGAAAGATAAAATGTAGACAAATGCACATAAAAAAAACTGCTAATTTTGCAGATAAAACCTTTCTTGCTACAACAGCAGTATATAAGTGCTCATGTAGTTCACTAAAGATAAATAACATTTAAATTTGTTACGTTTCAGTAAATTAAGTATTACCATTGCTGGACAGTAGTGACGTTTTGGTGGATAAATACAGCATTTCACTGGATATATATACCTATGCCATTTTGCTGTACGTTTGCTGCACAATACCAATTGCTGGACAAACTTTAAAAATGCTTTACATTACAGAAAAATTGCTGTAAGTATGGTCGCCCTAGTGTAATAATATTTTAATCACCAAAAATAAATTTTAAAAATATTGTGTTTTAGGTTTCCTTTGTGCTGGATTATAATTCTAGTAAAAATCTCAGGAATTTTAGAAGCTAACGTTAATACAGAATTGGTTGAAGAAGAATATATAACATCTGAGATTATTTCTTTTTCTTTCATAGCAGAATATCATGCTAAAAAACATTGTTCTGTATAAGTTGAACATCCATTATTAAGTATCAAATTTGTAAAAGTCAAAATACATGTTATTATTTATTTAAAAAAACAAAGTAAGTAAAAATCAACTAAAAATAGGTGCAACGATTTAAACGAGCATATTTTTTATTTTCTTTTTATATATATATATATATATATATATATTATTTTCTTAATAATAATTAACCAAGTAAATTTATTATCTACAAAGTTATTTTTACGGAAGAAACTATGTAATTAAGTTCACATATTTATTTGTTTACAGTACGCTACTGATACATAAAGTTCTAAATGGTTAAAATTTCAAAATAAAATAAAAAAGAAATTAATAAAATTGTCACAGTATAAAAATGAAGTCAATAGTGTAATAAAAGTTGACACTTTAAAAAATAAACCTTTTAAAATGTCACAAATTGAAAAATACTTATTGTAATTGGACATCAGTTGGTCTACAAATAAATTCTGTCCATAGTTAGTTCTATGAGCATTTACATAAAATAGTTTCATGTGCCTAGTAAGTCTGGCAGGAACAAGGAATTTAATAAAGTGTACCAGGCTGTCACTATCAATCAAACCGTTCAATAACTTATACAGGAAAACAAATGATGCTTCTCGACATCTGCATTCCAAACTCTTATAGGTCCCTCTCAAAAATAACATCAAGATCATTTATAGTTTGCTCAAAACTTAGTTCAGAACCTGCAATGACAATCATGCATAATGATATTAGCTGTTTTATTAAACCTTATGACTTTACATTTATCAATGTTCAGTTTAAGCAAGTTATATTATTAAAACTATGATTAGTACCAGTTGTAGGCAAATATCTTTTTTTAGCATCCTACAACTGCCATCTTAATAAAAATTTAGTGACCTTTGAAATATACCTTATATAAATACACTTTTTACTACTTTTGTACAATCGTGCACCATTTTAGCTAACAGTGAACCTTTGCAATATAGATACCTTATTATACTCTTTCGTGCAAGCGTTCAGTGTTTTCGATTCTAGTGAACCTTTGAGATATTCCTTATATACCCTTTATACCTACTTTTGTCCAATTTGTCAGTGTTTTTTTTACCTATATTATTAATACCTACCTCTACTTGTATGATATTGGTTCTTGATTTCAAAAGCTTTTTAATAATAAATTTATACAATTTTTTATTTTGTTTTCTTCAGATTTTACTATATCCTCAATATACTATTTTGAATATAGTGTATCCAAGGATGGACATAACTATACTTGTAAAGATATTTATTTTAAATTTTTCAAGAGGTCTTTTTCATAATTTCTCAACGTTAATCGTATTTATTTAACAAGCAAAAGAAATTATGAAGAAGTACTTTTAAATTTAAAATAAATATTTTTACAAGTATTATTAAGTCCATCCGTGGACACACTGTATAATGCTGTAGAATGAATTCACATTATAACATCTATAGAAAGTTTCAGAGCAACTTTCGGGGTAAGTACCGTAAAAGTGCTAGTGTGATGTTTTCCGAACTTTAATTTTGTAACCTCTGTGAGATGTGCTATAAAAGTCTTGCCGTTGCGGACATTCGGTGGTTGCAGGGATGATAGGGTTACATTAACAGTACATTGCATGCGAGCTTAAAGAGCCTAAAATTGCAGCTTATTAACGTAGATGGGATGTTTTTGTGCTAGCTGGGTACTATTCCCCATTTTAATATGTACGTGTATTTCAATAACACCCTGTATAGCATTAAGTCTGAAGTTTTTAAGTCCGTATAATGTTTACCTATTCTTATGTTTTCTTAATTATTTTTGTCAGAATTTCCTGCTCTGTAATTGGAATTGCCTGTTGAGCAGTGACTTTTCAATTTGCATCTAAGACATTATATTAAATTAACACTTTTCATATCTGTTTTTAATTAATCTCCAGAATTCAGCCATTTTAAAAGATTAAACTTGGTATAAATACTAGATGGCCATAAAAGCCAATTATAAACAAAAGAAACAATTTTGTTCTATTGTAATCATAAGCGTCATATTAGGGACAGGACAACGGACATTTTCCCTATTTTTTATATGCCACTTTTTAACATTTCTGGCTTTAAAATAGGAAACTATGGAGATTTTTTCAAAAAGTGGGTTCGTTGTGGCTGAAACTAGTTGCTCCATCAATCATACGTGCTTAATAAAATAACGAATATAAAAATAAAATCTGATTAGATTTATTCCTTATAAATAAACCTATACACTTTTCAAACCATGTTAAGTACTTGATAATTGCGATATCATACCTAAATAGTAGCTGGCAATAACTAGGAAATTATTGCCCAAAACTTTGGGATTAATAGTGGACAAAACGTCTTTGAGTTCCGTCCTTGACATATTAGGTTGAAGTTGCATTAAAGAAATTCCAGTAGCTTTTGAGTCTCCGAACTTTCGTTGAGTGACAGATTTTATGACTCTTGTAATCATATCGTCATCTAAAATAAAATAATAGGTATGTATCCATTATTTTTATCTGTAAACAGTCCGTACTTACGAATTGTGCTGTCATATATTACCACCAATGTTTTCCAATTGTAGATATTAGCTCCTCTTAAGTCTAGAAGTATTTGTGGCAGTTCTTGTCCTCTAGTTATTAAAGGTATCGTAATTGCTGTATCTGAAGGTAATCTGGGGCAATCTGAATCTAAAAAATTATTTGACGGTTTACAAAAATATTCTAATTTTTTAGAATGATTACTAGGACTTTATAACATCGTTGCTCAAAGAATTTTTGTTATATGCATGTGAGAGCCGATCCGTTTTGTTAGGAAGCTCGAATCGCTCTACCGGCTTGACGGCTTTTTAATTTTTTTATGACAGAGATGGACATACGATTACGTCAGTTCGACCAGTTCTTCGCGCGCGAAAATACATGGGTTTGGTCACGTCCGCATGCAAATGGCTGTTATAAATTAATTGGATTTTGTGAGCAAAGGACCGTCTTTTGTATGTTTCAAAATTCTTTATTTTGGAACAGTTGAGGTTTTGGTACCCATATAACTAAACCGTATTGTCTTAGGTCTTACGATGGCTGTATAAATACATGTGATGACTCTGGGGAAGAAGCCAGAGGTGCATCTCATGATTCTGCGGTATTGTTTTAAAATTAAAGTAATAAACTAATTTTACCTGAAATAGCCATGTGGACTAAATCCTCTCTATTTGTTAACTTGTAAAGCCTCCAAGTGTTATAGCAGTTTGTTATAGTAAAAATTGCCGTCAAGTCTAAAAAGCAAAACAAAATAAAATAAATAGAGGAAAAAAAAAAGTGTTTTTTTTTCTTAAATATAATTTAGGCAAAATATTTTCTAAATTTTTTTTAAGTTGAGTATAATTATTAGGTATCTACCTCGGAATTCTGTTATACAAAACTAACTTCTATGATTTTTTTGTCCTTTCTAAGTTGAAATGCTAAAAGTTGTTCATTTGAAAGTGACCACTGTTCATATATTACCCAGATGTATAAAAATAATGGAGTAAATATTGGGCGTTAAACAAAAAAGACTACAACACGCCGGCAAAAGAGGTAGCAGATCAGGAACGATAGGAAACTCTTACTTTTTATCGTGGACGCAAATAAAGCGAAGAAACATCTATAATGACTCTCAACAGATGCTCTAGTGGAGTGGTCGCCAACCTCTCAATGTGTTGAGCTACTTTGTTAATTTTGGAATAAACAGCGAGCTACCCACACGGAAGCCACGTAACGCAACGTAAATGAAATAAGTTAATTTATCATTATATGTATTTATTTTACTATTTAACTGGTAATACATAATACATAGGTACTAATAATAAACTAATAACAAAATAACTAATAATACTAGTACGTACTTGTTCATAGCTACATTCCTACCTACCAAACGAAGGTGTTTTAAAAATAAACACAAACTTTTATCCAGTCACAACGGCATGTCACGTAAGATTTAAAAATAGTTAATAATAACAACAAAAAAGTAACGCACTATCATGAACATAAACATTGAAAAATAAAAAAGCACGTTCAATGAGAAGGCTGACACTCAGACTCATCGATAATTTTTTTAATGTTTGCCGTATAATTTGATACAGCCATTCGAATGCAATTATCCAAATGTTCATCTGTAAGTCGATTGCGATATTTGTTCTTAATAAACTTCATATTGGAAAAAAAAGATTCACATAAATAGGTTGAACTGAATAATGCTTTCATTTTCAAGGCAACACGGCATAGAACTGAATATTTGTCTTTACTTACAATAGGCCAGATACATTTGGTACTTGAGACTAACGATTTTAAGGCTAAATCATTTTGAAACTCAATTAGTTCCATTTCTGTTGCAGCGATGTCTTCGCCAAAGTTCTGCATAACACAAGTTGCAAACTGTTGGATATCAATTTCCATAACGGGTGAAACAACAAACGCGCTACTAAAACCATTTCGTTGAAATCCTTAAAACGATTTTTGAATTTATTTTTCAGGGTAGAAACTATTTCTACATGATATTTGCTGTCATAGGGTTCTAATGGATTTTGAGATATTTTTTCTGAAAGAATAGGAAAATGCTTGGCATCGCTGTTAATTAGGTTTTGTTCCCAAAACTCCAGCTTTTTGATAAATGCTTTTATATCAGAAATCATTTCCGCTAGTTCTTTGTCTCTCCCCTGAAGCTGCAAATTAAGTTCGTTTAATTTCTCTGTATTGTCCACGAGAAAACCAAAATCTCTAAGCCAGATTGAATTTTCTAGTTTCGGAGTCGGTTCATCGCGTTGTTTGAAAAATTGAACTATGCCAGATAGGACATCATTAAAACGTTACAGCACCAATCCTCTACTTAACCATCGGACTTCAGAGTGAAGGAGTAGGTCCCCGTATTGACAGTCAACTTCATCGGCCAAGGTTTTGAATAATCTTCTTTGTAACGCTAGAGCTCTAATCTTGTTCACAATTTTTACCACCAGTTTCATAATGTTGTTTAGTTTCAGGAAATTTCCACATAATGTTTGCTGATGGATAATGCAGTGGTAACAGAGAAATTGCGAAAAAGTTTCATCTTTACGACATAACGCCACCAGACCCTTATCACAACCCACCATAGCTGGAGCGCCATCGGTTGTCAAGCCTACCATTTTCGATATTGGAATTTTCTCGGAAGAAATAATATTTTTTAAATGAGGAAACAAGTCCTGTCCAGTAGTGTGTCCTTTCAGTGGAATAAACTTCAAAAGATCTTCTTTAATCGTAAAATCACTAAAAACCATCCTGACGAACACGGCCATCTGGGCAGTGTCAACGACATCTGTTGATTTTCCAGTTAAAGTGAAAAATAAACACAGTTATCTAAGTCAGTTCTTAACTATAAAAAAATATCATTGATCATTACTTCTACACGTCTCATCACTGTATTAGCAAAAAGTTGCATAGATTTTATAGCTGAAACTGAAACAGAACGGATGTTATGCTGCCAAAAAAGAGCTGATTCAAATAATCAAACTAAATAAATTAATAACGTATTTGACACCTTACCTTTTGGAATATTGGACTGATGATCGGCGAGCGGCACACATGAAGCAAGGGCACAAATATTCAGCGACGGCGAACGAACTTGTTACTTTGTTGGCGATACATCGATGTCTCTTGATTCTTTGAAAAGGTCCAAAGCATGAACCGTTTAGGTGGGGCAAAGTGTCAAAATAGATAACGCGAATTTAAATTAAGAAATTAATAAAGAAAATAAATCCATTCTCGAACAGAAACTATCTCGTCTTTATTTCTAAAGTTGGCAAATAACGAATCAGCAGCTTCTAAAAACGCCTGTTTTATCATTTCCCCGTCTTCATAAGGTTTCTTTTTTTTGCAATTATCTGGGACACACGGTACGATGCTTCAGTTGCAGCCTTATTTTTATCGACTGTTCTTAAAAATATTGATTGTTGTCCAATTAACTTCTTTTATAACTGTTTCAGTTTCTCCTTTCTGGCGGCAGAATGTAGTGGGAATGATTTTTCAAAATTAGAATGTACAGTTTTATGATGTCTCTCAATATTTCCTTTTTTAGCAACGGAGACCGAAGTATTACATAACAAACACACATTTTTATCTTTAACTTCTGTAAAAAAGTACTGTTCTTCCCATTCCGAATGAAAGTGGTATATCTTTACCTTCTTACAACTGCTTGCCATAATATTATTTTTTGTTGTTCTCTACTAACCCAACCGCTGGACATTGTTTACGCGTTCAGTTTTAAACTAAGCGCAATGTCGCCGCGCCGTGCGTATTTATCCCGTTCAAAGCAATCCTGATCGTTCTCGAACACTAACGCGCTGGTCCGGCTGGTCGGTTCTAGCCGATTCTAGCTTGATGGCGTCAGCGGCAGATCGCTCACCGCAACGTTGTTGCTGTTTATGTTCAATATTATGACAATTAGATTTTTTTGTGGAATTTTCGGAAACTTCTCTGATTTTTGCAGTTTGTATTTTTTAAATTAAAATCGTTGTGAGAGCTACCAGAATTGCCTCCGCGAGCTACCGGTAGCTCGCGATCGACAGGTTGGCGACCATTGCTCTAGTGGTAAAAGTTTAACCACCAAATGCACCAATGGGGGCCACTCAGTGTTAAAGGGCTCCCACCTTGGACAAACTGTCATTTTAGCTCCAATAATGTTGAAAACGTAATCCTAAAAAAAGGCCTTAAGCAGATAGAGTAACATGTGCAAGCTATTAGGGGAACACCCGGAAAACTACAGAGGATACCCGAAAATACCAAAGATAGTAACCAGACTAGCGCACACTATGCCATCTACCAGCTATGCAACTAAAACCAAATCGAAGGACAAACCAAGGACAATCAGGTAAGAGATTATGTAAAAATTTATGATGTTCGAGTACGCGATGAAAAAAATTATGAGCTAATACAGGTAAGTAGGTAAGTATTAATACAATCACTATCAGAAGACAAACGAACCTATTGCACTAGACAGACTTGCTGTTCTCACAAACAAAAAATGTCACACAAGACAAAACTCAATCTGTTTTAAACAAATGACAGCAATCTTCAGGTCCAATAGAAGGCATGGTATGTCACTTCACTTGCTTTTGATCGTGGAAGAGTTTTTATAGTTTTATAGGATAGGAACTTACTTGATTCGGGCATAATTTAATGTGTGTGAGTGGTAATCTGTGTGTTTGTGTGTGTGTGTCAGTCAGTATCCCATGGAAGCATATTTACGTTTCACCAACTAAGTTGACATCATCAGGAAAATATTAAGCTCTAAGATTAAATTTGGTTTTTATTTTTTACTACATCGAATGTCATTTTTATTTTAGTTCTTTAAAAATGTATCGAACGAAGTAGAACCTAGTAGATACATATTATTATTAAATAAAAACCAACCTTTTCTAACATTAATAGAAGTCCAAGAGTAAGGATGGACATTGACTCCACCGTGTTTGAGTATTTCCCTTTTTGCATATGTTAAATATTCATCTACCTCGTTTTTAACGTCTTCATATTCTTCATTAAGAAATTCTCGATCAATAACTATAGCTAGAAAGATAAAGAGCAATGAAACATTATCACTAGAGCTTGGATTATATGCAAAATGCATTTGAATCGGTTAATTGATAAACGACACATGTCACATTTTTGGTCATTTTGTTTTTATTACAAAAATACAATATTTAAAGATAAATAATAATTATTATATTATACCCAAAATAGAGCAAGTTTGAAACGCTAAATGTGCAAAACTATTTTTTAACCATGTTTTGAGATTTTCACTTTTTCTTATATTTTGAAAAATAAATCTACAACTGACATTACGTGTTGATTTATTAATGTTTAAAAATAAAAAACCTCACAAAATAGGAAAGCAACTAAACTAACAGTGACCTTCTAATGGCAAAAAGTCTTACTTCACGTCTAAACCAAAACCGAAATGATGCAGGGGCGAATTTTAATTTTAAGGATGAGTGCGCTACGTTAATTTCCATTATTCTGAAACAATAATTAGTCGAGAATTAATGAAGCAAATTTAAATTTTTTTTACACGGTTGAATAGAGAATAAAACCCTCTTTCAAATGAGCTATCACTAACCACCCCATGCCATTTAAATTTTTCGAAAGGGTTGCTCCCCTTCAGTAAGGGATGAAATTAAGGGTAAATTATTCATACAAAAATGTACATTGTAGAAATCAAAAATCGACGTGTCTCGGCGATTTTCCTAACAAGATTCCAGTAACGAGTTACAGAGGGGGTAAGACTTATGGTGCTCACTGTATGTCTATCTTTTATTTTTAAACTCAACTGATTTGCTTGAATTCAGTTTCGTTTAGAAATAAATCGCAAAATTTAAATCACTGTGGTATTACCACAGCTTAACAATACAGCTAAAACACTCTCTTGGCGGCAACGGTTTGCGTCGATTTCGTCGCGCATCGCTTAAGCTCCGCCTTCGAAGGGAAAAGACGGTTTTGGTGTTCAGAAGCGTACTTAGGTAAGGTGTTGAGTCGTGCGACATCATTCTGTTTGTGCAGTCAAAAGCTGTTGTAATAAGGGTTATACCTGCAAGAAAACATTCTTTAGTTTTCCCAAGGACCCAAACCGATAAGTACCACATTATAAGAAATTTTCATTGTTAAAAATATAATTTATACAGGGTATCCCATTAGTGCGTTATTGTTCATTATTTTGTTGTAGACACGCAAGAAAGTTTTAAATAAAAGTTATATGGATTTGAAAAATACCTACATATTTTAAAAATATCTTTGGATATACAGGGTGTCACGTTTTTGCCTGGCAAATTAAAATGTATGTTTTTTAAATGGAACACCTTGTATTTTATTTTATGATAAAATTATTAACACCCTAAATTATTGTAAAGACGAATTGATACAGAAAAATTTTATCAGGTATGTGTGTGGTTACCTTTTAATAAAAGCCTTGCGGATCCACTCCTCTGCGATACCTGTCTTAAATATAACAAAGATCACGTTGAATTGGATGATTTTTCTTTTTATTGCTTTTTAAAGGCATATGATAACGCCAATCCAGATACATTTGGAAATCTGCAACTGTCAAATGATGAATTTGTAGAACTAATATTCAATATTGAAAAGATATTTCAAAATAATTTTGAAAAATTGGCTACAAAAAATAACATTTGTACCACACTTTTAGAATTAATTAACCCAATACCCTTTAGTCATCCATGCTAACGTTTTCCAAAAGAATAACTTATTTTATTGTATGTTTAATCTCAATAACTAAAAAATATACTGACAATTAGTTTGACAGAATTGTCATTTATTTAAAATTTTAAAAATTATAGCAGTCGGTTGATCAAAATATGAACGGTGATTGGCGAATTTATTTTTTTTTGCAGTGTTCTCACTACCTAGAATGGATATGAAATATATTCGTTCAATTGAAGGCAATAGCATACTTTTTCGTTTTGTAATCTGTGCATGGATATTAGCCAATCTATGCACATACTACAAAACGAAAAAGTATGTTATTGCGTTCAACTACGAATATATTTCATATCCATTTTAGGTAGTGAGAACACTTTAACAAAATTAAATCTACAAATCACAGTTCATATTTTGGTCACCCAACTCCTATTATTTAAATTTTTTTAAATAAGTGACAATTCTGTTAAACTAATTGTCAATATATATTTTAGTTATTGATATTAAATATACATTAAAATTTTTGTGTAGACTCGATAAATAATAGCATTTTTGTTTTTATTGTGTCCACATTTAAAAAAAAATAAATTTTAATCAAACTACATGATACTAATTTAATTACGAGTATTAAAACTAAAGTCCTGAAAGTTTCGGTGAAGATGAGGACAGAGCATCTGCCTTCCACGCGAAAAGCCCGAGATCGAATCTAGTCCGAGGACTAATTAATTTTTCATGTTAATTTTATTTTATAAATTAGTCAACTTCGTAAATTATTTTAAAATTAGTTATTTTGTCTAAATAACCTAAAATAATTTTTTAAATTTGTAGATTTTCGTTAGTGGGTCGTAGAAAAAATATACTGACCATATCGAGTGGATTGTTCATATCACAATCAGACGATTGAGTACTCCGCATACGACGTCGTGCTCAAACTTCGTCTTTGTGTGATATTGCTATCATATCCACCCTTGTTGAACAAACTATAATTTATTTGTTTTCTTGGTTTAAACCAAAACTTAAGTTTTACATCAGAAATAGGAACTAAATTAATTTACTTTTCAAGTTTTCTTGTAAAAATCGATATTACTTTCTCCAAGTACAAATTTAGTACCTACCTAAAATAAGTACTAATTATGTAATATCGTGTAATATTGTAATTCAAATTTCACATTACTATAAAGTTTCAAAATTCCCTACTTCGGTATGGTCAGATAAAAATTGAATATATTATATTAATAAAAACTGTCAAAGTATTACTTCTACAAATCTGTATTTCAATTAATAAGAATACATCTAAATATAACCAATATTGTTAAAATAAAAGCACAAATTCTTTATAATTCCAAAATACCATAGAGTACCCAGACCTCAGTCGAAGCATTCGTTTTTCTAGGTATAAACCCTTTGCGCGAAGAGTAACACTTGCCAGAGACACGGGGGTACCACTTGATTTGCATCCACGAGCGTGACACAATTCTTTAACAATTGAAGCCCTTGGTGTAAAAAGGATCCAAGCCACAATTTGTCGTGAAGTGACTGTTTTAGCTCAAAACATTTGTTAACGAGGATTTTACTAGCCACATACAAATTATTTTACCTCTAATCCGAAAGATGTGCTATTTTTCGTAATATTTATATTTAAATAATGTTTCTAATTATATTTGACAGATTTAAAACAAATTAAAAATTTAATTTCCCAAAACTTACTTAATATGGCATGTAACCAACCTTATTACGCCAAGGTTTTCAATTTTTTCAATAATAAAAAAATGGTTTAATCCTGGCCCGACTTTTCCCTCGAATCTAACAGAGATAGCACCATTCCGTCTTGCTTGGTTCTCGACCGCCAGATCAAAGACGCCGACACGGAGTTGTGAAGCTGTATTGTATAAGCTGTGGTATTACTACTTCTAAAGTTATCCATTTTAAAGTTATACGCTGTTAAAATGAATACTGGAAATACTAGGATACCCTGTATATGTATTTTAAAAATAAATTAGATTATATCCTTTAACACCTTCATCTGTATATTTGTATTTTTTTTTTAAATAATATCTAAAGTATATCTACTTAATCCTAAAGCCTTTCGGTGCATTGTATTATAGACATGCAAAAAATATTTTTCATACATACCTATAGAAGCATTAGTAGTTAGCAACGATGGAAAATTTTCGTTTTTTACAAAACCACATAGCCAAATACCGACAAAGATAACCACTTTTAAAAACATTCTTTCTTGACAATATTATCCAGCACACTGGTTTAAAACACATATTTTTTCAAAAACTTATTACGACTCGTAATAATTATAAATATTAATTTTTACATTTGTACAGGTGTTCTGTAATATGGAATGGAGGGTTGAGAAATGATCTACTTTTCAATTGCTTTATACAAGGACAAGGAAAAGGTCGCTATAAATTTTTAATTAGAAAATCTAGCACGAAATCACTTATTAAATAATGCTCAATCGTGCCCAGCATTTTCTTTTCGGTGTTTTTTATATTTTTTGAATAACAAATTAGTGTGTAAAATGTTACCAGAAAATAGTCCATTCGCCAAAAGATTTGAAAATTGAGACACTAGACCACAATAATTAATTAAACAGAAGATATATTGTTTTCTTTGAATTGTAATGTAAAGTAGTAATTTTCTTAGGAAACCATAACTAGCTAATAATAAACTTTTTCTACGACTGATAGACAAAATTGTATTTTACTCAAAAAGGTTCACATTTTTAAGTATTTTTTTTTTAGAAAAAAACATTAAAATTTTGAAGAAGTGTATCCAGAGGAGTACAGATTTAATCTTTAAAAGTGGGGTACTCCGAAACCTTTGTATGCTCTTATCTGAAGCCAAGTAGGTAAATACTCCTCTTAAGCCGCTTTAAACAACGCACTCAATAAAAGATTTTTTTGTTGTTAAAATATAATACTTTACTGATGCAACTTATATTTTTTGTAAAGTTCCCCACTTCGCCCTGTTGAGGGGGGGTTGTCGGTTGCCGGTCGTTTAAAAAAAATTGTTCTACTCGCTCGATAATTTGTTATAGTTAAACCACAGCTTATACAATACAGCTCCACAACTCCGTGTTGGCGTCTTTGATCTGGCGGTCGAGAACCAAGCAAGACGGAATGGTGCTATCTCTGTTAGATTCGAGGAAAAAGTCGGGCCCGGATTAAACAATTTTTTTATTATTGAAAAATTGAAAACCTTGGCGTAATAAGGTTGGTTACATGCCATATTAAGTAAGTTTTGGGAAATTAAATTTTTAATTTGTTTTAAATCTGTCAAATATAATTAGAAACATTATTTAAATATAAATATTACGAAAAATAGCACATCTTTCGGATTAGAGGTAAAATAATTTGTATGTGGCTAGTAAAATCCTGGTTAACAAATGTTTTGAGCTAAAACAGTCACTTCACGACAAATTG